CACCCCAAATGGTGCTCTTGTGGTCCAAGGTCTGGTCTGTCTCCAAATTGACACAAAGCCTCAAAGACCTGCTAGAAGTAGCTTATAAATTAGGGCACTATGGTTTATCTTCCAGAAACTATTTTCTAAATGTCATGTATCACAGAGTCATTTTTCATTTGCTTAATAGATTATTTTAAAGAGCTTAGAGATCACATAGTCCATACATTAACCTGCTAACAAACCCCCAAAATCTTAATTTAAATTTTAAAAAATGAAGACCCATAAAGTATGAAAAAAATGCGACATAAATTCAAATGTTTCTTTTTAAGTTTGCTACACAACACTCACACATGACAGGAGATGCACTCTTGGTTTAAAAAAGGAAATCAATTCTACAAGGGCTGCCCATATATTGGAATTATGTTAATTGAATCTGTTTTGTTCAAATGGTAAAAGTTTGACTTATTAACTAGAAATGTATTAAAAATTAGAAATAAAAGATTGAAGAGCCTCAAAGAATATATTAGTAGATTGCTTGAGTACATAAAGTAGATAATGTCAATTCTTAAAACATCTACATTTTAAACTAATACGTGAATTACGCTAGATACAATCCAACAAAACTAATAGTGATGTTTAGCCTGCACTGAAACTAAAAGATAATATTTAAAATTTATAGGTACAGCCGGGAACTGTGGCTCACATCAGTAATCCTAGCACTTTGGGAGGCTTAGGGTGGGGAATCACTTGAGACCAGTAGTTCAAGACCAGACTGCACAACATGGCAAAACCCTGTCTCTACTAAAAACACAAAAATTAGCCAGGTATGGTGGCACACAGCTATAATCCCAGCTATTTGGGAAGCTGAGGCACAAGAATCGATTGAACCCCAGAGGTGGAGTCTGCAGTGAGCCAAGATCTTGCCACTGCACTCCAGCCTGGGTGATAAAGGGAGACTCAGTCTCAAAAAACAACAACAACAACAACAAAATTAATTAAATTTTTAAAAAATTTAGAAGTGCAAGGGAAAATAACTTTAAGTTTTCTTATTTTCACAGAAAATTTTTTTAAAAGGAAAGAAGGAAAGAGAAGGGAAGGAGGGACGGAAACATAGCTATGCTGGGATGCAGAGCTGACATGTTAAATGATAATATGGATGTGTACACTATGATTAAATTAAGATTATAGAGTCTATTTGTACAAAACAACTCAAAAGAGCATGCAATATATAGTGTGTATTTGCGTATGTTTTGATACTGTATATGTAATATATATTGTAAGAATGAAAAACTACAATTTTTGTTTTTTATGTATCATTTATAATTTTCTTGTTCCTGATGTCCATTTTTCCCTGAGTTGTTGCTCATGATAATCATGTTCCTATATTTTGTATTTGATGATGTTATTTGGTGATCAGCATGTCCTTCTGGTTCATCTATTTAGCCTATACATTCCAAGTGGTGCTGCTTCAGTTGCATGCCATCTTCTCTCTTGGCCTTCACTTTGTCCTCTGAAAACCCTTAAATAGAACCAACTTATTAAAGAAACAACTGGCTTCTCCTGTATTTAATATTTAAGGGGGTAGAGATTTAACTTCAGGGCACAATAACTACACAAAATCCTTAGATAGGTTGTTATTATTTAAATGTTTGAATGAAATTTAATTTGTAATTTAGGACTTTTCCAATCTTTCCTACATTTTATAATATATTTAACCTAAGCAGCTAAAGCCTGAGCATGAGAAAGAATCATTCATAAATACAGACGGTACAATGAAGAGCTCCACTGAACATTGCCCAAGCTCGTGAAGTTGAAAGCAGAGTGGCTGATTAGCTATACACATATTTTTAATAATCACAGAGCAAGCATATTTTGTTACTGCATAATCAGATGCCTTAGGTATGTCAAATATACTTTTTCCACACGACCAAAGTAAGAATTTGCAAGTAAGAAAAGCAATCACAGTTCAATTACATGCCTGTGATTATAAAATACTAAAACAAGTCAAGTTTCTTTTTCTAATATCAAATTTGAACATAACCATATTTTCCTAAGAGCAATTTTCTAGTATTGAAAACCACGACTACCCTTTTGTCAGAAAAAGTGTTTGAGGATATTCCTGATACTGTTAAGGCTTTTTCTTGTATGTTCTGGGCATGTTCTCTCTTCCTGAAATATTTTGGTAACTTGTAGAAGTTGAATGTATATTTAAGAATAGTCACTGCCCTCCTGTAAATTCAAGAAACTCACAAGGGGACCTGGATTTTATATATCGTTTGTGCTTTTGAAATCTTAGTGAAACTAAGAGTTTTCAACCCATAACAAAATTTAACTAACACATAAAATTCATTCAAATCTCTTAAAACCTTAAAAGTGATAGACTTCTATTTCGCCCATACAAAAGAAAGTAATAGTGAAATTTTAACTGATAAATATTAAAATGCTTTCTTCGTTAAGGATTGTAGTTTTCAATGTTTTTATACTAAAAATCAACTGACAGATCTTTTATGAATATTTGGAAAATCATCCTTAGCTTTTTTGCAGCCCAGCAAAGAGGCAGAAGGAATCATAATATGCATTTTGGAAAGCTGTGTGGTGATAAAAAAGAGTCCCATGGTAAGAGCAGACGGAAAATGGTAGTTATTATTAATTTAGAAAAACAAAAGAGCAGCCCAGCATTTCAGTAATGTGGCAAGTTGTGTGCTCTTGAAGGAGAGAGGGCTTTATAATTGGATTTTAGAGTAATTTAGAAGACGAGATAAGATGTAATGGTTGTGTATTAGAGGTTAGAACTACAACAGAAACCCATAATGTAAGGGTTCACTGCACTGGGGGACAACAGAACAAAGAGAAGCAGCGCCAACCGAAAACGGCCCCAGTGAGAAGCAACAAGGTGAGGCTGGGGGGACCCAGCAAAGGGGGTTCCCAGCGGGTGCCAGCAGGGACGCAGGCTCAGCCCCTGCAGCATACAGTAAGGAGCACAGGCTTTTCTCCGAATGCTTTTTCTTTACTGACCTGTCACTGTCCCACCTCTCCTCCTCCCTACCTGTGAGTTCAGCCTGGCATTTCCTTCTTCCCTGCAGCCCAGCAGTCAGACCTGAGCAGCTGCCACCCAGACTTCCATCCTCAGCAGGCTGTCCTGGGGCTCCATCCAGGGTCCCCTGACACCACCCACACACCCACAATTCCCCCCCCCAAACACACACCCCACATATACACACACCCACAGACACACACATACACACCCACGTATACACACACCCACAGACACACACACCCACAGACACACACACCACACACACATAAACACCCACACACACACACATGAACGCCCATATACACCCACACCCACATACACACACCCCACATACATACACACACTTCCCACACACCCCATTCACATACACACCCACATGAACACATACACATATTTCCCCCATACACACACAGCAACCCACACATCATACACACACTCCCCCTACACACACATACATGCCCCACCCATAGACACCCACAGTCACACCCACTTTCCCCACACACACACCTAACACACATACCCACATATACACATACCCCACACACATACACACCCACAGACACACACCCCACACACATACCCACTCACACAATACATACCCCACACACGTACACACCCACAGATACACACACGCCACACACATACACACCCACCAATATACATACACACCACACACACATATACCCCCACATACATACACACACTCCCCACACACACCTCACTCACAAACACACCCACATAAACACACACATATACTTCTCCCATACACACATACACACCCACATACACCCCTCCACACACACACACACACACACTCTCCCCACACATACACACTCCACACACATACATACCCACAGTCATACCCACACTCCCCACACACACACCCTACACACATACCCACATGTACACTCACATACATGCACACCACACACTTACACACCCCTCACATACACTCCCCACACATACCACACACACACACATAAACACACACATATACACACTTCCTCTAACACCACATACACACACCCACATACCCCTCCACATGCACATACATATATTCCCCACACACACACCCCACACACATACACACCCAAATACACCCACACCCACACACACCTCACATACATACACACACTTCCCACACACACCCCACACACATGCACACCCACACATACACACCCACACATACACACCCACAGACACACATACCCCATACACACATACACACCCACATATACCCACATCCACATACACACACCCTACATACATATACACACACCCCACACACATACACACTCACACAGACACACATACTTCCCACACACACATACACACCCACACACCCCACATAATACATACCCACACACACCGCCCACACACATATACACACCACACACAGACACCCACATACATCCCCCAAAACACAAACCCCACACACACAGATATACACACTCCACACATATACCCACATACAGACACACATACGCATGCACTTACTCTCCTCACACACATATTCACCCTAAACACATACCCACATACACCCACCCATACACACATTCCCCCCACATATCCACATATACACAACCCCATACACACACACTCCCCACCCACACACACATCCACACACACCCATACACCCACCTTCCCCCACATCCACACACACCCATCCACACACACACTCCACGCCCCCCCACACACGCCACACACATACACACACAAACACACTCCTAACACACCTACACACATGCTTTCTGCACATACACACAGCACACTCACACCCATACCCCTCCATACACACATGCACACCACCCCACACAGAGAACCAGGGCCTAACCTCTCTATCTCTCTTCTATCTCAGCAACACTCAGCCTCTACCACTGGCAGACAGAGAAAAGAATCTGAAGAGGAGTAAAACCTGCCTCCACCCACCCCACCCCCAATTTTCATTCCAAGCCTTGGGCAGATAAATGTACTTTTCCACCTGTTCATTGGGGTCCCTGTCCAGAGAATCCATCGCACAGGCTCCAGCTCTCAGGTAAAGGCCTCAGGTGAGAGGCTCTTTTTAGAGTTAAGAATCTAAGCCCGGAGGGGAAATCCTGTTTCTAGAAAGGGAGAGCTGTGTTGCTGGTGGGCGGTGGGAAGAGATGGGAACCTATGGGGTTGAATTCCTGCCCAGTCGCCGGCGCTTGGCTACCCCCTGCTGGGCGGGAAGCTCTTGGCCTCAGACTCACACCATTATGCTCAGGGTCAAGTCCACTCCCAAGGCTTGGGACAGAATCCACTTACTTCCTGTCAAATTGTTATCACGCGTTGCCAACGTGAAGCTGGAGTGTGAAGTTACCTTCCAATCCCCAAGAGGTATTAAAGGTTTTTTTTCCCTCTGAGCCCTTTGTATGCCAGTTTAAGCAGAACAAATCTATTTATTTTTTGTGAGGATCAGTTTATTAAAAGCATGCACGTAACTCAAATCGTATAGTAAAATGATGTTAGGCTTTGTTGAGCATGAAAAGTGTTCTCGCTCAAGCCCCATTTCCAACCCTTCCGAGCGTCATTTTCCCCTGAAGCAGAACATAGGTTATGTTAACAGGACCTCAGCCCAAAGGCCTAAAATCAGCTTAGCTCCCAGGCTTTCTCCAGCCATCCCTTCCCACAACCCGCTCTTTCCACCTCTCAGGAAAACCCCAGCTACACGATGTAGAAAACTGGCACATATAAGCAGACGGGGAACCTATTTTTAACCAGATCAAGTTTTCAAATATAGATTAACACGTTTTAATTGTCCTATAAACTATTATTCTTAAAGTCACTCTTAACAAAACCCAGACTTGCAGAAAGTTCTCTGCCATAACTGTAATGTGTATACACTATTAAGATAGTTATGAAACCTCAGGCACATTTGGAAGACGTGGCTTAATAGTGCCTTTAATACAAAATAAAATAAAGTAAAATGTAAATAAAAAGGGATTAGTTGTTATAAGCTGTGACACAGCTGCAGCGACAGAAACTGAAGAAACATGTAAACAGAGAGTGCTTTTAGTCACTCAGTGACCCAAATGTCTTTTTCAGACTCTCACAATTCTAATTCTGACACACTCATTCATTTCATTTATTTTGCAAACCAAGCAGAAATGAAACGGACATTCAGATTAAGTAAACAGGGGCTTTACATATAGCCACTAAGCTGCCAGATAGACAACTTTTGGTTTACATGGAGTGTAAGGGGTAAAGAAACAATGTCAAAACTGCAGCCCTTCTTGCATTTATTGGCATGAAGTGAAAATCCAAATATATTCACCAAATTAATAAAGGGTGAACAGGCTGCTAACCTTGCATGGTGCGTTAAAGTGTCAGAGCACTTGAACTCTACATCATAGCACAGCCTCGGAAATAAACATAAACATTTCTCTCTGTCAGAAGGGGGTAAATAAATTAGGATTTGGCTAAATCTCTGGTTGTTTTGCTCCCATGTTGTGGCCTAGAATAAGCCCTACACTATTTCCAGCTGAAGTTGACTCCACTTGATACCTTAAGCAAATGAGAGAAAAGACAGGGGTGACAGTGTAGGAAGGAACTGACCTGAGATTCTCCTTTCTTATTAGTTAACAGAGTTGTCAGTGAGTGAGAATGCAGGATACAAATTAATGCCTTTTCAAAAGCCTTCCCTCTAATCCTATTTTTTTCTTAATGATCCCTTTGTCAATTACTGTTGTCTGGGTGTAGCCTTATAATAGTCATGTTCAGATTGTTTACCAAGGTTGGGTGAAATGGCAGGGTGCGGGTGAAGGGAGGGAGGAACAAAGAGATAAGCCTATCTCTGATAAGCCTAGGAAGCTCTTAACTGAATTTAAGTAACCCTTCCCCCTTCCTCAATGGGAAAAACTTGCCAGCCTTCCCACCAAGTTCTGCCAGATGATACTCAGTACTTTCATCTCAATGCCTGCTCAGCAAATTGAGTGATTTCTCTTCTCTAACTCTTGCTATCTGGTGACTCCAACCCCTTTTTTCTTTGAGCCATTTCCTCTTTCCATTTTTCTTGAAAAGTTTTCTTAAATCCATACACATTAAACTAGTAATGAAAAATGGAATGTAAATGCTATGGTTTGAATGCCCCCTCCAAACTCATTTTGAGATTTAATTGCCATTGTAACAGTATAAAGAGGTGGGGCCTTTAAGAAGTGATTAGGCCATGATGGCACTGCCTTCATGAAGGGATTAATGCTGCTATCACAGGACTGGGACTGGGTTAGTTATTGCAGGAGTGAGTTTCTGATTTAAAAAAAAAAAAAAAAAAAAAGATGAGTTCAGCCAACTTCCCTCTCTGTCTCACACACACCCACTCATTCACAATATCATGCCGTCTGCCTTAGGATGATCCTTCCCAGAAGCTGGTGTCATGTTCTTGGACTTCCCAGCCTCCAGAACCATGAGCCAAATAAGATTCTTTTCTTTATAAATTACCCAGTCTGTGGTGTTCTGTTATAGCAGCAGACACAGACTAAGACAACAAGCAAAACTTAAATAGCAAAATGATGATGGAAGATGAAGGACTCTGAAGAAGAGAAAAATCAATGGGATGAGAGAACATTTAGGCAGCTTCAATAACAAGATGAAATGTGAACAAATAATAGAAAACATTATTTGAGTGATTATTATGTATCAGACACCATTCTGAATATTTTTATATGTATTATATCCTTTCACCCTCTTTATAACCCTATGAGATGACATTACTATCTCTACTTTAGAGGCAAAAATGTACTGAGGCCTGGAAAAGTTAGAATTCAATAGCTTATCAGTGGTACAGCTAAGATTTGACTCTTGACCAGGGACTTGTAAAACTATGCTATGCTAATAGAATAGGAGAATGGGTTAAGAAAAACAACAACAAAAACAAGCCAAACAACATTGCAAGCCAGCCTTTTTAACTGGATGGGTTTCATTGTTATTCAACTGTGGAGTCACATTTGCAAACATTCTTAACCAGAAGAAACTGTGACTGCTCCATATCCCAAAGAATTCAGTATTACATAGTCCAATATACATATTCATGGTCTCAAAAAATCCTGAGCTACATATTAAAAGGTCCATGAGAGGCAAGTGAATTCAAATAACATAGGAAAGAAGCACATGCAGATGCAAAAGAACTATCCAAGTAAAAAGTCTGAACTTCTGTCATGTGATGTTTACACTCAAAATGACCTAGATGAGAGGGTAAAGGGAGGTTACATAATCAAGTGCCTACAACAGGAGCACTTCTAACAATTTTGAGGCCTGCAGCAAGAAATGAAGGCCCACATATTTTATGTTTTCATGTTTAAAAATGTATATAGTCAAGCTAAAAAATGGTTAAAGTAAAATTCTATCCCCTGTGTAAATTAACAACTGAAAAGGACAATTTTTAACTTAAAATTCTTGGACTACTTCAAATGTTGTGTTAGAATATGGTAACATGGAGTGAGTTGGTTTGTATGTGGCCTCTGATCCTAATCCAAGTCAATCCCATGATGCCCATGACTCTTCTGACCTCTGGATGTATCCTGTAACTCAAGTATCTCACTCATCTAACCTGTGCCCACAAGGCCTCCACTCTAAGCACCCCCTTGGCCACCACTCAAGCCCAATAGAGTGCACACTGGCATCACAGTCTGCAGTCTGTCTTTAGGAGAGACCCAGGGAGAAACCATGCAAGCTTGGCATCCTCTGCTCAGAGACTTCCAGGAGCCTTGGTACCTAGAGCAGGATGTAGTCCCTTGATGCTTAAAGTGTAGTCCACAGCACCAAGGGGATTGTTAAAACTTCAGACTCTCAGATCTACTCTGGACCCCCGAATTAGAATCTACACTTGGCAGGATCCTCAGGTGTTTCATATAAGCACATTAAAGTTTGGGAAGCAGTGAGCCAAAAGGGAGGGTGGCTGCTTGACAGGTAGGTCCACTTGTCCCCAAGAACTCCTCACCTTGTAGGGAGAACCATGGCTGGGCGTGGGCCAGGATGGAGACAACTAAAGAGTAGCACTAGGACAGGATCCCTTCTAGCTCAGGTCGGAAGCTCAACAACAGATTTAATTACATTCAGGAGGGCAGTAGGCCCAGTGTAAAAACATATGCTGACCCACAAGGGGATGTCAAGGATGGCAGCCCTGCCTAACGGGGGCAGCCAGTGCTCAACTATAGCTCACTGTGGCCTGAGGTATACTATGCTAGCTATGGGGTGAGGTCAAATCATAGACAGGTGGAATTAATATACTAGCCTGGTAGTTCTCATGGTGAGTGGGAAAAAAATAGGTATCAGAATCTGCTGAAAAGGTGTTAGAAAATATTCATTTCCCTGCCTCCACCCCTGAGAAAGTATCTAAAATTTTGGTTGAGGAAGAAAAACATGTATTTTTATTTTTAAAAATCCCAGATCATTTTGATTCATCCTCCCTAACCCCTGCCTCCACCCTTGCCATGTTAAAAATTATTCTGGACAACAGAACACAGTTAACTGTTTCCATTGATTGTCACTGCTTAAGACCTGGGGTTGGGCTTGGATGAAGCTGCTGAACTGCCTAATCCTTTCTCAGCCATTCTCTTGTCACAAGTACACATGTGAACAAAGGTTCACTCTCCATCTTTACATGCCAAGTGAAGCTAAAACGGACACATGGTGGAATTATGAGAGAAAAATTCCCAGACCATTTGGTCCCTGCATGAATCTCTACAGGAAATGCATCTCGTCCTGTGCATCTGGGTTTTATCAAAGAGAAGGTTTATTTCTACCCGGGATTCTGTTTTTGAATAGCTATATTCTTCAAAGTAGGTGAAAAGACAAAAAAAAAAAAAAAAAAAAAAAAAAAAAAAAAAGAAAAAAAAGGTGGGGGAAATCTAAAGTAAG